GACGGCAGAAATTAACTGCATTCAAGCGAACGCTGATTCAAGACATCACACGCGTGTATATACAGGGTGGAAGAGAATGACCGACAAATCCGAAAATTGTTAATGAAAGAGTGTGCGTCTTAAATATGCACTTAATTGTACTTTGCTCTAAGTTTACTCTTAATAGTTTCCGAGATATTTAATGTCAAAAATTTGCTTCAAAAGTCTGTGTTCTCACATCTTAGTCATAAAAACAACATCTGTTTGTGGGTAACTACTGGGAGGCACTCAGGGCAAAAACTTTGTACTTTTAATAGGTCGTTGACTTCCGTCGTTGATCAACTAGTAATAATCCCATCAGTCGCTTTCCTTGATTTATTTATTTGATTATGCGAGTATTTATTTTATTATTTCGAGAGTAATTAACACCACTAAATTCAATGAGAAAATGCACCACGCATAGTTTAGAAACAATTGTTGTCTCCCGAAGTACCCACCCCTCTCTTCATTCTTCTAATGGGGTCATTAGAAGAATGAAGGATTTCAACTCATGTTGTTTGCGTCATAAGATAAATCTAACTGAAACTAAATTAAGTAAAAACGTTCTACAACATACGTCAAGTACTCGATTTACAATAGTCCCCGTAACCCTTAGTCCAGACCTAACGTAAAAATCATAGTAAATTGTATAATCATAATAAATAGTCCTTGTGTGCTACCTCGCGCTGGATCGGTTTTTACCCGAAGATTTTACTACCATATGAGGTCCTTTCGTTTACACGCGGGTAAGCAAAGATTTAGAAATGCTAGCTAAAACTGCGGGTCAAGTGAGAAAGTGCGTGTTTAACTGGTTAATTAAAAAATCTTATTCAGACATCAAAGACTTCTTAACGGTGCTTGACATGTAAAACGAATGTAATATATAGTGGAAACAAAAAATATGGACAAAAATCCTGGCAAATATCCGCTCACGCGATACATGCAGCCGTAGACGCATATCATACCTAGAGGTGCAGGTGATGATTTTAAACCGATTTATCGGATATCGGAGTTATAACAGGTAAAAGAACTAATACTAATTGCTATTTCGGTAACTACTCTAGCAAACCATAAACTTTTTAATGCCTGGGTCTGTCATTTAAAAAAATAAACAACTTCAAAAATACGTCACGACAATCGTGTGTGCTATTGTTTGGGCTGGTGATTTCGGTGTTTATTTATTGAAAACATACCGTAAGTAGCGTTTTTTAAGTTTACCCTGAATATAAATGTTTATAAACTATACTTTAAGGAGTAATTTCGTAGTAAACGTTAGAACCACTCAAACGGAATATTATCATATTTACCCAAGTACACCAAAAATTTCATTAGTGCTTTTTAAGTGCAGGATTTGCGGTGTATTACTGCATTTTATTTGAGATGTTTTTGTTGTAGTACGGAGGGTATTTATTTAGCAATGGAGAATAATAATTTTTATTTATAAAAACTTGTATTTAAACTGAATCCTTTTCTAATTTGCGAAACGAAATAGCCGCCATTTTACGGTAGGATGAGCGCATCGTGTGAGCGGTCATACAAGAAAATAAGTATACAAAAAATTCTATAATAATATTCTTATACTAAATAATTACTACACAGATATTATAAATATCAACTTTAACTGTACCCTAAATTACATCTGTTTTATCTACATTCAATGAGTGTACTGTGGTATTGTTTACTCCATCCATGCCTACGTTTCTTTTGTGCTGGTGATTAGTGAACAGCGATCGCACGCAGTTGTGACTATGTACCCTCCTTGCTTTTGTGACTAAATTGTTTTTAATATTAATGCATCCTATCTTGATTATAAAATTTTCTGTCAATGTTTCTGTTCTTTGTTGGTAGGTAGTTATGCATTGTGGTAGCCCGCGCTCCATACAAATTAGAGCTTAACTCTAGGCATCACAAGCGAGGTACACACCCATGTACTTGTAAGCAGCCGACGCTGCACAATGCGCTAAAGTGCATAACAACCCCAAGAATAAATAAGGCCTTAGCTTTAGAAATTATATTTTGTAATTAATCACTAAATATCCAACCTCCAAATCGGTCGGATGTCCTAGTTAATAGTAGTTTTATTTTTTTTAATCTTCAATCGCTCCCGAAACCTTGACTAGAGGTACTGAAGTTGGCTGTTTTTTTTGTTGTTCATGAAAACTAGAACTATGCTGGATTTTGTAAGAAATTTATGAATGTACCAAAATTAAATGTAAACCTCCTCTCTCTGTGTTCTACCATTAATATTTTATAAGTTTACTGTAATATACTTAGTTATTGTAGTAGACTAAGTTACTGCTATTTTAGGCACACTTGACGGACGTAAGACCTAGCTAACCCAGGGGATCCTAGTTTGGGAGCTAGGCACAACTATGTACCTATTTTTGTGTGTTTTGAAATAAAGGTTATTATTATTAATTATAATGCGGCCAAATGCGATTCGAAACAAAAAAACTTGCCGGTTGCTAATCATAAATCACCGCCTAGATATGCACTAATAAATAAGTAACATTTATATTTTTGGTAGCATTGTCGAGAGACAATTTTTTTTGTACCATTTCTCAATCCCTTTGGAAATACTTTAGAATTTAAAACTTTAAAGTGAATAATAATAACACACACACTCAACATAGCCGCACACACATAGACAACCACAAATGACACCCAAACTCACAAGATAAATAAATGTAAGCCATACACATATTTGTCCCGGCCTGGGAATCAAACTCAGGACCTCTGCATGGCAGTCCGGCATGGTAACCATTCGGACACTTAGGCAGCACAAGTGAAGAGTTCGTAATTAGATCAACGTCGCTTCTCACTTGAGACTAGGGTAACTACATCTAGGGGGCCTACCACAACCTCTTAAAACAATATTACTTTAACCTTACATTGACTTTTCGTACCGTAACGCGCTTAAAGTAAGCTTATTATAATGTTAAAACTATGACGTTTTATTGGCAGCTTTGTTTGACTATTCATTCCCTCAGTTGACGCGACTTTAACATTAAATTTTTCATTTTTATTGTCTTATATTTATTTGTTATGGTTAAAAGTTAAGTTGAACTTATTTATTTACATGTGTCTCTTCAATATTTTGTTTAAATTTTTTTAATACCACTTAGGAATTAATTTCTCGTTAAATAAAAATACGCGATGTATATTTCGTAAAATTATGACAGCGCCATCTATATGCTCCTTGGCGAAACTAACAGTTGACACTAGACTATAGTTCCGAATTCACAACGTGACAATCAAGACTCGGCTTGTTTTATTTATTTTTCTTCAAAAAAAATAATTGAAAACAACGTAATTTTAATAAATTTCATTATTACATACTTTTCTTTTTTTGGCAGTTAAAATTCTCTGAATGTAAATAATATTAAATTCTTTAACATTATACTACTCGTACGATAGGACGATTCGGAACATCAAAAAAGAAAGAGATGGCATTATACAGTTCATATAGCGTTATTTCTTTCCTAGTTTTTAGTAAGGAATAGACACTATTGGGAAATCATTCGTACTTTCAGTCACTTTAGCAATAATACACTACTTGGTTGACATGTTTGTCATGGTACGAGTATGAGTAATATTATAATAGGCTTACTTTAAGCTTACATTGAAATAAAATTGTTTTTTGAAAGGATATTGTAGGCCTCCTGGTCTTGCAAGCTTGCAAACGTACAATTTGAGGCAGAAGTTGATGTCAGATCAGGGTCAGATACAGTCTTTTCAATAGCCGCTCACGCGATTCATGCGTCTCTGGAAGGATACCACCTAGAGGTGCCGGTGATGATTTTATACCGATTTATCGGATATCGAAGTTATAACAGGTAAAAGAACTAATACTAATTGCTATTTCGTTAACTACTCTAGCAAACCATAAAGTTTTTAATGTCTGGGTCTGTCATTTAAAAAAAATAAACTACTTCAAAAATACGTCACGACAATCGTGTGTGTTATTGTTTGGGCTGGTGATGTCGGTGTTTATTTATTGAAAATATACCGTAAGTTGCGTTTTTTAAGTTACCCTGAATATAAATGCTTATAAACTATACTTTAAGGAGTAATTTCATGGTAAACATTAGAACCACTCAAACGGAATATTATCATATTTACCCAAGTACACCAAAAATTTCATTAGTGCCTTTTAAGTGCAGGATTTGCGGTGTATTACTGCATTTTATTTAAGATGTTTTTGTTGTAGTACGGAGGGTATTTATTTAGCAAAGCAGAATAATAATTTTTATTTTTAAAAACTTGTATTTAAACTGAATCCTTTTCTAATTTGCGAAACCAAATAGCCGCCATTTTGCGATAGGATGAGCGCATCGCGTGAGCGGCTATGGCTTGGCGGTGGCAATAGTTTTGTTATAGGCATTATTGTATAGTGGTTTGAATACTTGATTCAATAACACTAATTTTAAATGTAAATAAGTAGTACAGACCTCGTAACAATAGATAGAGTATCACGGTTAGTCCTTTTTAGTAGTAGCACGGCTCGTACCATGCGCGTAGCACGACGCGTAGCATTTGTGCACAAACTGCTACGTCAAATTCGTCACTTGTTGACTAGTCGCGGTGGTCGAACGGTTATAACGGCATATTGCGAAATTGGGACCGGCGGATCGAATCGCTCGGAGCACTTCACAAAGGTGTAGTCCTCTCCAAGTATCGAACTCCACACTGAGAACTGTGATGATATCCCGCTCGCACACACCACAAGCTAGCTAAGACCACTTAAGGTGCGTTAAGGAAACGAGTTTAACAACACTATTTACCAATCGACGCAAATCCAACAAAAAAAAACAAAAGTAAAGTCAACGAGACTTTGTGCACACAGCACGGAGGAATCTAATCTAATTAAATTATAATTGATTATAAATTATACTTAATTATTCGAAAACAATCGCATGTAATGAATACAACGTTCGATTTGTTTATATGTATTCATAAAAATACAGTGAACCATATTCGGGTATACATCAATTTCACGTTATTTCTACCAATTATTTTCACTTCTATATTAAATTTATGATTATCGCTGAACTGCAGATAAAAAAAATAGGTATGTAATTAGAGAAGCTTTTACAACAATTATCATCAACAGGAACACTGGATAGAATCTTCCAAAATAAGTTGTAAGTTATCTTAGTAAAGACGTTTGTGCGAAGTTTTAGGCCCCACCTGGTCATATACTGGATGGCTCCAGCTTTACTACTGTCGGCGTCTCTCTTTCGATTACATCAACAACTAAATGTTTTTCACAGACGAAAGCGAGCGGAATATCACAAGAACAATCATTGAGAAGACCATCACGCTGCATTGCCCCGCAGCTCTCACTGCTGCCGAAACGGTCAAGGTAGTCAGGTTTGTCTCTACGGGGTGAGTTATTTGGTTCGTCTGGAGCCCAAATTGCATAACCTGTTTCTTCAAGACTTTCACCTGAAACACATAAGCCAAGTTTGTAAAAAGATGTGTTTCAAAAGGTATTTCTTGGCGACGTGTATCGTACTATTTATTTTTCTCCGTATCATTTCATCTTAGTCATTGTTTTCAAAATTATACTCCCATTTTTGTATTTGACTGTACTGTACAAAAATAATAAAAAAATTTACTGTGAATTACGCAACAGTGAGAACCGGAATAAATTTTTACGTCCTCGAGAGTATTCAGACTTGACAGGAAATTAAAATATTTTTCATTAATAGAATAAATGGTTACCTATCACACGCTAGAAACAAGATTTAACGAATTTAGTTTCTCCGAAAATCTTTCTACTTTTATTGAATAGACTTTGTTTCATTTGTCCGAAAACACGTAATGTTTTTTTCACTACACCATTTAATATTTCAACATTTTGCCATATTGACAAGTTATTCGTTTCCCGATTCTTATTTCCCCAACGTACCTTTTGACCAATGTATCTAATTGAATATTTTGTTTTTGTAAAAAAACTATGTCCATATTACATATTTTATGACTCTAAAACTGAACTTCGACAGAAGCTACGCCGAGTGTATGTTACGTAGACATGACTGTACTTAGATACTACGCTACTCTGACAATATATTACATCGACATGATTTTACCAGACGCTGTGCTGCTTCGACAACACAGGCGAGATGCTTCTTAAAAATCTTTGTACTGCGATAAGAATGATCACAAACCCATGTAGGAAATGATTTCTTATGTCGATCAATATAACAAAAAGAACAAAATTAAATAATTTAATTTTTTTAAATTATTTATACGGTATTTTTCTTTTAAACGGGACAGTGTGGAGAAATCCGAAACCATAGAAGATACAAGAAAACTATCTTAGAAACCATAAAGTCGTCTTTTTTTGCGAAAACAACTTTAGCATAGTTTTGGTCAAACATGAGTTGTCCATAAAAATTTATGAAGGGATCATTTCATTGTATTGTAAGAAAAAAATTGGCACAAAAGAAACAAGAAAAGAAGTTAGTCAAAATTAATTAAATGATTTTTCATACAAAATTAATAAAATTGACCAAAATTTTTTTACAAAATTTTTAAAAATTTTAGAACAAATTAAATCATAGCAAAATGTGATTATCATTTTAGTATATTAGTTCTTATTACCGATATTAAATGTATTAAAACATCAAATTAAATAAATAGTAAACGAAGTGCAAGTTAATTTTTATCGAGTTATAGTGCTTGTTAAAATGCTAAAAAGAACATAACTTTTTGTATCCTGCCCACAAGTAACACAATTATTTATTACATATCCATAATGTATTAATGTGGTCATTGTTGCAAACTCCTTAGCATTTTAAATTTTAATTGTATTTTTTTATTGATGTGGGCTGACAGATGTTTTGCTATTACGTGGTTGAATTTGCATAGAACCGTTGAAAACCAGGAATATTTACTAAATTATTTATCAATCATACAGTCCACTAGTTTTGTACTCTCCGGTCATCATTGATGTGTCCTCATTTTTACATGATATTTGTAAACAGTTGTTAATAATGTCTGATTTGCTACGCTAACCTGACCTAAACCCACGGGAGGGGTCGAACCAGCTGGGAAATGCAAACAAATTAGGTCCGGATACTCGCCTCCATTCAGTTATAAGTTATTTAATGAATACTCAAGACCATTGTTTTTATATAAACAACGGTTTGACGAAAATTACGTAACTATAGTTATTATGTTATTTCTAAATTTTCATTGTAATAAAAATAAGGAAATGTTTTATTCAAAATGTATAATGAGTTACGAATAGTTACGAAAAGTATATACATGACTTAAAAGTCTTGTTAATATCTATTTTAGATAGGTACCATTTTATCTAAGAATAATAATTTTGTCGAAATGACTTTTCAGCAATCTAAATTATATGGAAAACAGACAGTATAACAAACATAGTAGACCAAACAAACTTCTGTTCATAGAATATATGCATAATAATTATTCTAATAAAAGGTTTTCGGACAAACGATACTTCTGCTATAAGACATTTCTGTGTTACAAAGAAGGATGGCGAAAGCTGTAACGACGAAGTGCCGTTCATGGACTTACTAGTATGGACCTACCTGAAGTATTAGTTATTTTATAGTACACACATAAAACATCAAAGCTATGAAATACTTGATGAAATAATCAGTTAAACAGTAATGATATAAAGCAAAAAATAAAACACAATGTGACAAGAATATATAGGCAATATTTAAATGGGAGATAATGAAAGTTGCAAAGGAATGTTTTGACAAGAGACCTCTTGCCAATGTCAATGTCACATTGATATTAAGATATATTGTGACCATTTATGGCAGATTTCTACCATTTGGACAGATTTAATTTTTATCCATTTTCATTGCTGCAGAACATTATAAGTTATATTAGAGTTTGACAGATTTGGGAATATTCGGGAAATTCTTTATTATTTTTGGGAACAAACTGAAAACTTGTTGTTTTCTGCTATTACGAACAAACATCTGAAGCGAAATATAGGACAATGTTATAAACATAACCTTTATCAACTTTGTAACCCCGGCTGCTACAGGCTGCACTAAATTAGCTTTTTCGATGCTTTGATAATGAATCACAAGTATTGATAAGTCTCCTTAAAGCACGTAGTCAAAAACACTGGGTCACAAAATACACGGGATGTCGCCATCCTTCCTTATATCAAAACTGTCGTCGCACTAATGAAAAAAAGTCGAAACGTGTTCGGAATAATGAAATTCGGCAAAAAGAAATTCGTTTTGTGATAGGTTACCAGAATAAATGCATGAAGTTATGGGTACAACTACATGCATTTATTCTGGTAACTTATGTGTCAAATAAACTTAAATGTTATGGAATACACTGTGAATCATAATTGTGTGGAATCTAGACTCTTGTTTTCCATACTTCCTTATCTAAAACATGCTCTTCAAATTTGTAATATGACTTTTCAATTAAAATACTTTTATTGTTAGTTTTAAACTTAGGAAATGACAATCTTAATATATTCTCCGGAATCTTATTGTAAAAACATATACAGATCCCCATAAATGAATCGTTTGCCTTAGTTAAACAAAATCGTGGTACCATAAGTTTTAACTTAGTTTTAAGGTTAATATTATGGATATCTTCTTTCTTAATGAAATTATGTATATTTTACGGGCATACAAAAAAATTGAGTAAATGTAGTGTGATGCCATGGTACCAGTCTCCTTAAACTTTTCTCTGAGAGAAACCCGAGAGCCTAGACGGTACACAGAACGAATCGCTCGTTTTTGCAACACATATATGGTTTGCGTATTTGCCGCTTTACCCTACATGAGAATCCCGTAGGATATTATACTATGGAAGTAATTAAAGTAAACTAGTACAACTGTAGAAATATCGGTAAGCTCACGTATTCTACGGACTGCGTATGCAGCAGAGCTTAATCTGCTGGCTAACGAAAATATATGTGGAAATCATTGAAGTTTACTGTCTAAGGTCACTCACAAAAAGACAGCTTTATTAACAAGGTCTAAATTTTCTCCATTTTTTTCTACGATTGTACTAGTCGATTTTACATTAGGTAATTCAAATTTAACCCACTTAGTTTTCTTGGCATTGAGCAACAGATTGTTATCATTAAACCAATAAACTGCCTTTGAGAGGGTGTCGTTAATATTGTCATAGTTAACGTCATGTCTGTCTGTTTTAAAAATCAAGGATGTGTCGTCAGCAAACAATACTATTAAGCAAAGGTTCTTACTAAAAATGGTAGACCATTAATATAAATGAAAAATAAGAAAGGTCCAAGTATGGAGCCCTGTGGAACACTCATTTTTACTGGATATTACACCAAATATTAGTCCGGACTACAACAAGTGTGAATAAAGATGCTCACCATCTATAGTAATCCAAGATTTGTTAAATTTAATGAATCCAAGAAACAAGTCGCTTATCTTTGTCGATTTCAAGGTACTACTCGGATCCATCTCGAAAATACTGGATAAGAACTTGGCCTCCTCAGCGCTATTTATGATGGCCAAACGTCCCCCTTCAGCCAGGCAGATCTTGTAAGCATCTGACCAGATTTGTGGTTGTAGATGAAATTTGTAGCAATGGCCCGTTGTTTTATAGTATTTATATTCTGTAAATTAACATATAATTGTTAATTTAATTAAAAAAATGCATAATATTATAATTATTAATACAAAGATCGAACACTCAGAAAAAATTCCTTCGATCCGGCCGGATTCGAACCGACGTCTTCTAGCTTACCGTGTCAGACGCTATACCAACTAAGCCACGGAACGAACCAGCGGACCTCACGAATTTTTCGATGTGTTTGAGTCGTATCTTTGTATTTGGTTTTTTAACGACTTTTTAGTCGTAGCGCCATCTATGAGAAATGTATGAAAGTTTTATCACCCAGTTAGATATCTTTACAGTTACCAGTCCTGGCGAGAGATGTCGCTATTCACTGTATTTTAAATTTTTATTGAATTGATATTTAATTATTTTTTGTGAAATTACTCCACTAGTTTGTTATAATTATTAATACAAAGATCGAGCACTCAGAAAAAATTCCTTCTATCCGGCCGGATTCGAACCGACGTCTTCTAGCTTACCGTGCCGGACGCTATACCAACTAAGCCACGGAACGCACCAGTGGACCTCACAAATTATTTGTTCACAAACTGCATATCAGTCCCTACATTATCCTGCCATTATCCCCACTGGTCATTTTTACAAATCAATTTTGCAGATTTAAATGGCAATTTAAATTAACTGTCTTTCCAGTCGTTATTTCACTTATTTAATAAACATACATGTGATCAGCCTCATCAAGCCAGATCAGTCAGATCAAATCAAAAATTATTAGCGTACTTTATGCATATTCGATATTGCATATAAGTGAAAATAGTCGGTCCGGCTGAAAATTAGTCTTTAGAAGTTCTTAATCATAATTTCAGGTCAAAATAGTTTTTTCACCATTTTCAAATATGGCCGCCATAATAGCGTTATGTTGGCGGCAGAATAAATTTACTCTGTACATGTACTTGATAATAATTAGTGATCTTTAGTTTTTCGCTATTTTTCAATATGGCCGCCATGCAAGTTTTTTTTTTTGACAGAAGATGAAAATTTGCTCTAATTCGACAGAAAATCTGTATGTGGGAGTTTCCATGGGTGTTTGACCATAATTTATGGTCAAAGTATATTTTTAGCTATTTCTAATATTGCAGCCATACAAACTTTCTTGGCAGCAGATAAAAATTTGCTCTACTTCGTCAGCAAATCGGTATATCGGGGTCTCGATGGGTGTTTAATAATAATTTGCGGTCAAAAGTTATTATTCGCCATTTTTCAATATGGCTGTCATACAAACTTTTTTGGCGGTAGGTAATTTGGTATAATTCGACTGAAAGTGCGATGGCCTCAATCATAATTTGGGGTAACAATATTGTTTTCGCCGTTTTTCGATATAGCCGCCGTTCAAGCGTTCTTTTTCGATATAAATTAGCTGTTGAAAAAGCTTGCTTTTCCCGGGATGAATATTAGCACGAATTCTAGGATTGCCTGACAATAATTTGTGGTCAAAATATATTTTTGAAATTTTTAAATATGGCCAACAGTAAAGAACAGTAACAGTAATAGTTGTTTTTGTACCCGTGAACGTCTCCATTGTAATATACATATACATCGTGCTCCTATCGCTTTAATTATAGGTATTTAACATACTTGTACTAACTACACTTTTGAAAATTTTACAGTAGAGCAATTTGAAAGTTTGACTTCGAATTCCCGAAACAACTTGCTGAATGTAACTGATTTATTGCATTATAAAATAGTGTAGCCATTTTAATAGGTAGGTAGTAATTTATTTTATAGCTCAATAGCTCTTACACTAAGCTTGCAAAATTAGCGGTCAATTAAAATAAATGCACTTAGCACATTTGAGTAGACATGTGTAGCGCTTAATACTTTAGGTAATTCAAAATTATCCAATAATGTGCGGTTATTACATTTGTGCTCGTTAATACTCCAATACTAAAATCAATGATTGCGCACAAATTTTGACCAACATTCTCAGCATAATGTGAAAATCTCTGTATCCATTGACTTGCAAATAAATGGACGACGGGTCTAATACAAAAACCACGAAAAAAATGTTCCAAGTCAATCTATTTAAACGTAGTGACATGTAAAGGAATATGAAAAAGCTAAAACGTTGAATTTAAATTGTAATGTCATCGCAGTCTGATTTTCTAATTTTGCTTGCTTCGCTGTCAGTCGAACAAACGAAGACTAAAGCGTGAATGACGCTCTGTATACGATTTTAACGCCCTATAAGTTCGGGCACTTTTTAGCGCGGACCCGACATCCATATAATTGTAAATCAATGTCTGTATCCAAGCAACTACATGATTTTTCTGGAAATAAAATTTGTTAATTTAATAACGTAGATAGTAATTCCCTTAGAAAATAAGAATACTTCAATTATTGGACCCCTGTTTTAGCTTAGCTTACTTGGCGTGACGCTTTTACAATAAAGAGACAACTCATTGGAGTTCTGATGAACGATGACAATGCCAGGTGACATTAATACATTTGGCACCGATCATCGACTATATAACCAGATATAGAGATGAAATAAGGGCCTTATATTCCTGGTAACTCATCAGTTAAATGGGACGATATCAGTTATAAATATCAATTCTCGTTTGCACTGAAATATAGTACAGCGCCATCAACTAACCTGTGTGTACGTTTCCGTATATTCAAAAAGTATTCTGTATTATTGTAATAAAGGTAATATCTCTAACAATGGGGTCTGTTGTATTCAGTGGTGTGGGGAAAACAGCAAAACATCTAATTACAAAACAAACGGAATCACATTTCATCGGTCATTATACATTAAATATGTATTTTTTCAATTTTCATCCAATACCTCAAGTTAAACTGGTCGATTTGAAGTGAAACTATTGACGACACCCGTCAATTGTTTCGAATTCGGGCTGGCCAATTGGAGTTCCGTTGTCACCGTAATGATTTGGCAGAATAGTTTTCAAACAAATTAAATGACATTTTGTCTCTATTTCTGGCTTTATACTCGATATGTGCGCTAGACCATCGAAATGGTAACAAAGTTGAATTCAAGGTTTAACTCATCAGACGCTACGTAATATTAGTTTAGTGAACAACTTTTGGTCATTCACCAGTTTCGATTATTCGCTATGATACTATCTCCAACACAAGATTTCTATCGGATTTTATTTTATACAGTTGTGTCAACATTTGTTTTTTTATCGCCGCCTTACTTATGTTACGGTATTTGATCGCGAACTTAAATTTTAAGGCGTTTAACGTGGCAACGGATGGCGCGGCGTGTCTTTGAACTGCTGACCAATGTTCGAGTTTTAGAATAAATGTGAATTTAATAAGTATAGGGTTGTAGTTAAAAACCAAACTTTAGCAAGTTCTCTGTAGTACTTTAAGAGAAATATCTCCACTCCCATATAAAAATTATGTGCAACGTTACATAATGTTATCTATGAAACTTTTGTGTTACCCTGTTTTCGGGATTTTATATGATCGGATAAAGTACATCCTTTCGTGTAACAAATTAGCACATTCTTTGGACTTCTGATGATTCTGTTATTTAATAGTATATACCCAAAACATTTGATCTCTGAACATTACTAACCAGAATCAATAGTTCCACATTCATTGATGTTAGGAATCCCCTTCTTCACCTTTCTGTAGCACATGAAAAAATACAAATGCTTGCAGTCTACGATGTCAATGGCGCCCGAAGGTAATAGTACAGTGCATGGGGACGTCACCATTTGAGGACATGTCTGAGAATTCGTGAACTCTACGGGCATTTTAGACAAGGGTGTACCTGCAATGCAATATTATGTGTATTGCTTTTACAAATATTTTTGTAAGACTCCATAATGCGGGAATTTAAACATGATTCCCTAGTTATTTACAAGAATTATATCACTTACATCGATATATCGTTTTTATTTTATTTCTCAAAGAATTTGGATGTCAACGTCAAGAAATTAACCCACCAGGTAGCATCGCCTAGCTGTCTGATGGCAAGTAGCATTTTGTCGCCTTACTTTCTCAAACTCGTATTTTACATCACAAATTTAGTGAAATGCAAAAAATGGATTGCATATACAACTTTCGCAGGCTGTTTTCACATCACATTTGCTTCATACTCACATACTAGCTTTTGCCTATTGTTAAAGTAATGTATCCAAATTAATGTATCCTAAATAATCACTATTTATAAGATACGAGTTTGAGAAAGTAAGGCATCGTATGCTACCTTCCTATGAAGGAATACAAAAACACCAGTGACGAAATCAACCACGTAGAAACGAACGCTTTCTATTTTGAATCACGTTGACCTTAACTATGCGTAGGTTAGGCTTAATAGAAAGTGTACAGCTTTCACCCGGCAGTTGTCACTCAAGATGATGCTCTAGCGAAGTGAAAAATTATTACCATCGATAGAAGTGTAAACTCCATCGGAAAACCAAGCATTAATGCCGGTGTAAATGCCACAGTTGGCCCTACCGGCTCGTTCGGTAACGTCAAGCATAATTTGCATCATTGGGTCGTTCAATGGAGATGCGAGCTCCGCACCTGCGGAAGAAGTTATTTTTGTGTTGAAATTGTTATTAGTGTGGTGGGTGGCGTAGTGGTTTATGCATTTCTAGACATTCCTCTTTAAAATCATGGAAGCCGCTCGATCGCTGTAAGCCATTTTCTTTTTTCCTTTCTGCTCTATTAATCTTTTTGGAGGAATCTGGGTATAGAAAGAACCAATATTCTATATTATATTTTTAACCGTTACGCCATGGATTTTCCTACCTTCGAATCGGCACTGTAAATAGGCGTCATTCCAGCTGGTAGGTACGCGGTGCAGCTTCAGCCAGCCGTTTATTGAAGGCACGTACACGTAATCAGGACGAAAATTTGGAGGTTGCGTATGCCATCTTTCAGCATCTGCAATGATTCTCAATAATTCAATAAACTATTTCTAACAGGAGGATCCTCCTCGCATTGATGTGATCTGTATAGTTCACTTATCAGTCTGTATTTATTTTTTAAACTTTAATTAGTAAATTCATTTTAAATTTAAATTTTATTTAGACTTAAAACAAAACAGAATATATTTTACTAAATTTAATAAGTTACAGGTTTGACAAGACAAAAGAATATAAAATATAACTCTAAAAACTAAAACGAGACAATTATCGATGTTGGAACCAAAGTTATTTCATTCATCATTTTTTATTTCACTCCCACGGAGTCGCGCTGTGCTAGTCTCACCATCACACGTTACGCTAACTATGCGCTTCGTGCCTTTGATGTGTTGCAATCCATGGTTCGAAGTAATGTTGCAAGCGCTTTGAATCATTGTACTTAAGCCAAATTACGGGTAGCGCGTTACGTAACTCCTCCCCTTCGCAGATTATTTTCTAGACGTTGTAAGAAAATATTGCTGGCATCTCATGTTCGTCTTGATTCTCTTGTTTCGATTTGCCTATCTTTCTCTTAGCCTTTGAGTTGTAATATCGAACAACGAGGATGATCGCTAGCGCATCCACACATAACAGTACTATGTAAAATGGTGTGGTATAATGATACATCTTGTATTGCTGCTGCGTGAAGTGGTGGCATAATAGTAATTTTATCTTGGATGTTATGTAGTTTCTTTAAATTTATTGAGTTTAGAGTAAGATGTGCTGCCGCTTTTGCAGTCGTATTAATGAGGTTCTATAGTGCCATGATCTTTAATGGTTGCTCTGCTATTTCATCGTTATCGTTAACATTTGTGAACTGAGGTGTGCGTATGATACAATTATTTGGTATAGTAGCCAAATAACTGCCTTGTTATTGGTCATAGTCGTCTCTGCCACATTTTAATTGGACTCTTGTAGGTTGCGGAAATTTCGGTCGTCTAGTTGTTCCATTGCTTCTTTTAATAGGTTGACTTGTACTGGCTTGCACAATTTTCCCATTGTCTGTCGTAATATAATTTGCTTTGAACTTCTTGTCTATCTTCGGGCCTCAATGTACACAAAAGCATCCCCGGCTGTTGCTATTAGTGGATGTGGGGGAATAAGGATTTGGTGGTGCTTGTTAAGGGCTATAGAAAGTTTATAGAAAGTGTAGCTACTGGCTGAGGCAATAGGTATCTTAAAAACTATTACAATTCGTTTATCTGCAATATTTCCTTAATTCTATATTTTTAACCAAAACTTGTTCATTACCATATATTGATCTTAACTTCCCTATTATTTGCTTTAATACAATCTATCATATAGTGACGAGTACTTGAAGACTTTATAAAATGTCAAACTAGTTTCGATTCAATTTAACTCGTTTAATAAGTCGTCGATATTTTCAGTAATTATAATAAGCATTCGACCAAACTGTGCGAACGTAATAAGATTGTAATCTTTATCAAATTCATGATCTAGTATTCATTGCAAAGTGGTATTAATCCTTCCTTGCTAAGGCTGACATGAGTGTTGTATTCTGAAACTGTGTTATTTTGGTTAGTTTCTAATGATTCTATCGCTTTACCATACTTAACAGCATCCAGATAGTCGAGATTTGCCGTAATTCTTTTTATTATAGATCCTAAACCGTTAATTAGACCTCTTTTTGCACGCATGGGCTTTAGAGTTTTCAATTGATTTAAGATGTTTTCTAACTTGGTCGAGAGATAATTAATTTGTAGTTCAGTGTGTACGTATTTTTCTCAAGTCTATTTTCAAAGTCTGACAGTTGGGTTTTGATTAGGTCTACTGTGTATTGAGTTTAGTCAGTCCTAGCTTGAAAGGGAGTATTTGAGGTCCATCAATACATCCAAAGTCCATACTGTCAAGTCTTATCTCTTGAGCTTGTACCAGGCAGCTCGTCAGCATCAGTATTATCCTGTAACAATTTAGAACTTTTGTAAGGTCGCTTCAGTCGCGTTTTAGCTACGGGGCCACGCTTTCGAGACTCGTAAATATGGATTGGGTTGTTGGGTTGGGCTGTTGCTGATATTCCAACTCAGGTTCCCGGGTTCCGTTTCGGTGTTCTATTAACTGGATTCGATTTTCTAAGGATGTTTCGTTAATTTTATCGTAAACTGTTTTCATTAATTTGCGATGAGATTGGATATACTGTTGCATTAGTGATTTGTGCACGACCAGAGGACTTCTAGGGTAAAAATGTCCGGTCAGTAAGTCATGGGGCCTACATTTGGTGAAACTATGGATCCAATTATTGTAGCCTATATTTGCGTAGTGCGTGAGATTTACATCTGGCTCTTTTTGTTTTAGTTTTAATATTCTCAGCTGTTCAAAAAGTGTCGAATGGAAACGTTCTATGTTTGCATTTGCGTTAGGGGCGTGTGCTAGAATTTTATGATGGCTTATTTCGTGAAGACGTACAAATTCATTGGTTCGTAAATTCCGTTCCGTTATCCGTAATTATCATTAGGGAAAAACCAAGGTTTGAGCAAAATTTTAATACGGCCTGAATAACGCTAACCGCTGTTCCATCTCGTAGATGATAAGCTTGCCCGTATTTAGTGAATACGTCAATAAAAGTTAAATATTTTTAATTTTCAACAGTGAAGAAATCTAAATGGATGATTTCTAGTGGTCTTGTAGACGGTGGTACTACACTAAACTGTTATCTTATGGAGTTTCTGTCATACTTGGCTTGCCCACATATCGTAAACTCGTTTACAAATTTAGAAATATGGCTTAATAGATCTCTCTATGATATTTGTTTAGAGAATCCTTCGTGATGGGGATCTCTAACAAAGGATTTTCTACGGCAGTGTGTATGGTACCAACGTCTACACGCAGTTGGCTGTCATTCTGAAGATCACCATTGGGGTCATAGTTGGGTGTAGGACTACTGAGAAGACTTATACTAGGAGCAGTGTCGGTTGACGAGGCGCTTATCAATGGTCTACTGTTTGGTGTAGTCAAAGTCGATTCAGAGTGTTCTGAAGAGCTAGAACTTATATTTACTACAACAGAATCTAACTCCTCGTTATGAATTTCGATACGGGACAAGGCGTCTGCGTTCGTATTTGATTTACGCTTTTTATAGATAATTGTATAATCATATTCACTTAACTTTAGCCGCCATCTTGTGAGCCTTGAGTTGGGTTCTTTGAGATTCATCAACTATTGAAGTGGTTGATGGTCAGTGATAATTTTGAACTTGCGTCCGAACAAGTAAGGTCTAAAATACTTGGTCGCCCAGACTGTTGCCAGCAACTCCTTCTCAATGGTACTATAATTGATTTCGCTCTCATTCAGTGTACGTGAAGCGTGTGAAACGGGCTTATCAGACCATATGGGTCCTTGGGATAACACGGCACCTATGGCAAATTGGGATGCATTTGAGGTTCACACTAACTCTTTGTTGAAGTCTGGGTCCTTTAAGATCGGATCACTACTTAAGAGTGTTTTACACGCCTGTCGACATAATCAGCGTCTATCGGTATCTTTTTACCTTTTTTTAAACATGATGTTAATGGTTTAATGATTCTGGTGATAGTACCCAACTAGTCCGAGAAACTGTTTGATTTCCTTTGCAGTTTTTGGAATGAAGTATTTCGTAAATACTGAAATTTTATCAGTGTTCAGATGTACACCTTCACCACTGATTATATGGCCTAGATAAGCAGTTTTTAATTTGAGAAACTCAGATTTATCCATTTGTATTTTGAAATTGGGTTCTCTAAGTCTCTGGAAAACTTTACCGAGATTAATTATATGCTCCTGAAGAGGTACTGTAGACTATTATATCATTAAGGTAAACCTAGCAAATCTCATTTTGGAGTCCCCTCAACACAATGTCCATGACTCTCTCAAATGTGGATGGAGAGTTCTTTAGTCCCATGGGCATCCTCAAAAATTCGAAGTGCCCATGTTCAACATTGAAAGCTGTTTTGGGTAAATTTTCAGGGTCCATTTCCACTTGATAAAACCCACTTAACAAATCTAATGTTGAGAAATATTAGCGTTTGCCTAATTTATCCAAAACGTCACTTACATTGGATATTGGGTATTTATCATCTATTGTTTTTTCCTTTAGTTTTCTGAGATCTACTATCAAGCGCCATTTTTGTTTGTCTGGGGCGTCAGATTTTTTTGATACTACCCAGATCGGGGAACTCCATGTTCCAGCATTTAATTTATCTGATCGCTTACTTCCTGATAATGAATAATTGGGTTCCGGTAACGTTTTGTGTAAACTAAGTCAAAGTCAAATAATTATTTAAACTGGAAGTTCATCGGTAGTTTTAGTTTCATGTTTAATCCGGTTAGTAAACGTTAATGGTTTACTTTCCAAGTAAAATACATCGGCGTAAGATGAGCAAAGGGCTAATATATTAGCTTTTTCTTCGGCATTTACGTGATCTGTTCGTAATCGAGATATTACGTCACGTACACGTTCTGGCAATTGCTCAGTAGTCTGCTTGGGCGGGGCAGTCCAGAGAAAATATTATGTCATTTGGTATAGGATTGGAAATTTCCAAAAAACGATTGTTAGACATTCATGAATTATGCTATTACAAATTACTTGTTCAGGGACAAAGACATCCCCATCCAAGGTATTAATTAGTATTGCAATGAGTTTTGACCAATTTGCTGGTACAATGTCCTCGTATAAATTGACATTTCGGGAATTGAACATTTTAATAGGGTTTACAGCTGACAATGTAGTTAGGGTCTGTTCGTTCAGGTCAATTTTCGCCTTCTATTTGGTTAAAATGATTACGAAATTTGTAAATAAATAATTTTATATCATCAGGATGGTTGAATTCAGAAAACAAGGCAGAGTTCCGACGAAGAGTAGTCGTTTCAACTGGTGGCATGCACATTTGTTACTTCGAAGGGATTCTAATCCAAGTTAAATTCACTGAAATATGTTTGTGCGGCATCAGAACTATTGAAAAATTGGTTAGCCCCTGTCTGTTTGGAGCCATTTAGGAGTTTTAGAGGAGGGTTCGCTATTTGAATGTACGGCAGTTGTCTTTGGGTTTGTAAGTTGTCTTCTATCTTAGTTTTCTTAATTTCGTAGCCTTCTGAAAATGTTTAGTCTCACCTGTCGGGGACTGATATTGGCTCACAATCTAAATTTCTTATATATCTAACTGTTTTTGTCGACGAGTCTGCCTCCGTGCAGGCTCGTTGGTGCCTCTATTACGAGAATGGAAAATTTTTGGCAGGAATCTAGGAACTAGTAGCAAGCAGCACAAAGAAAATTCTGTGTACTCACAATTTCATTTCTGGTAACTTTGTGTATCGATGTCTGGACACTCGTGGCTTAGACTGAAGCTCAACGTAGATTCAGGATACTCGAGCTAAGCTTGATAGCTCCCGGGCAATGGTGCGCGTACGCGGGTTTTTCCGAAAATGTTGCCACGTCTCGCGAACCGGCCCGCGAGTATCCTACCGAATGCGCCAGTTACGAAAGCTACAGCCGAAGGACTTAAAAAAGAAAGAATATATTTTACTAAATTTAATAAGTCAAAGGTTTGACAAAAATAAAAGAATATAAAATGTAACTCTAAAAACTAAAACGAGATGCGACAATGTTTGATGTTGAAACCAAAGCGTTTCACTCCCACGGACTGGCGCTGTGCTGATCTCACCATCCCACGTTACGCTGACCGTGCGCCTCGTGCCTTTGATGTGTTGCAATCCATGGTTCGAAGTAATATTGCAACCGCTTTGAATCATTGTGCTTAAACCAAATTACGGGTGGCGCGTTACGCAACTAGCGTGCATGTTAGATGATGTTGTCTAAAAACTACTGTTTATTGTTCATGTATTTCATGTTCGTGTTTGATTTGTAGGAAAGTACAGGTGGAAACTTGTAATTGGCTTCACGTTTCATTTTCTGTGCTTATTAAATATTTAAAGCTGTTGGTTTTTACTAAACAAATAATTAAATAAATTCCTCCGATGTTTGTGAACCGATTTCGATTTCGTTTTTTGCAAATTAGGGTATGAATCCCCTTGATTGATTTTCACTCTTCCATTAACCGATTTCAATAAAACTTGGTACACAAGTGGGTAATTTCAACAAAATGGTGACCTAGAACTGATAAGAGGACTGCTCAACAATGTACAGCAGTTACTTTGTGTCTGGGCTCATATTATACGTTTTATTTCCTCATTACGCCTTTTAGTTGTAGTTGAGTACAGCAATCTTTTGAGGTCAACAATATCTACTTAGCGTTTTGAGGATAGTCTACAAGAATAAAAAATTGTTTCATGACCGTACGTTTAACATTTCTATTTGAAATGATCTAAGGAAAGACTAGAGAAATGTGACACGTTGCGTACATTTAACTATTTTAACGTCTATAACAACACACGTACCGTTGAGGCAACGTATTGACCTTGACAGGCCAACGTATAACCGCTCACGCGATGCGCTCCTCCTACCGCAAAATGGCGGTTATTTGGTTTCGCAAATTAGGAAAGCATTCAGTTTAAATACAAGTTTTTATAAATAAAAATTATTATTCTTACATTGCTAAATAAATACCCTCCGTACTACCAACAAAAACATCTCAAATAAAATGCAGTAATACACCGCAAATCCTGCACTTAAAAAGCACTAATGAAATTTTTCATGTACTTGGGTAAATATGATAATATTCCGTTTGAATGGTTGT